CGCAAGTCCTAATGCATCATTTGTATTATCAACGTGAATATTACATACATTTAACGTGAATATATTTAACAATAATTTCATAATTTTCTTACAGTAGGGTAGAATGTTGTATTCAGTGAAATTATAGTAGAGTAGAATATTGAATTGGCTGTCAAATCAATTCCTGATTACTGATTAGAATTACTGTCCAAAAATAACCATCACAAAAGATTAGAGTGTAAATTGTTACTAATTTGGTCACCATTCGGGTGATTAGTGTCTGGGAATTTGGCTCTTATTTATTTTAATTCAATTACTTTCTTCCCAGCCTCTGTAATACTGTTACAGAACACAACTGATTACACTGTGTTACATGGAAAAAATAATCTAATCTTAGTGATTGATTCTAGTCCGATCATAATCTGCAATCTAAATAATGTGTGCCAATATTGTTACAGAACAGAAATAATGTAATCTTTCATAAACATTTATTGTGAACTCAGTGGTTGTTGTCAACCATACACACAGAGATATATCAACACGCAACAATGGTGACAATCATCAGAATTTTAGATAAAAAATTTTAACCATTTCAAAAAAGAACTAAAAGTGACAACAACAACAGTAACAATTCTACAGCACAATGCTGCTACATCAGTTTCCTGCTCTAAGTGAAATACAGTACAGGAACAATTTACACTACTATATAAATCACTGTAAAAGAATAGCAACTAGTAGCCAGGAATTTAAATTGGTTGCTTTTCATGTTTTATTACTAAAGCAGACAAATGATTATCCAGACCATCCCTCATAAAAAGAAGTGCACCTAATTATACTGAATAGTATAGTTAAAAAAACTGTAAACTGTACATTCCGATAATATTTATGACGCTTATGTATTTAAAAAGAGTATAATTTCATGTGTAGGATATCAGACCGAATCAGACAATCTAAGATTTGGTCAAACATGATTGAGGCACAGGAGACAAAAATTCCACAGAGGCCCAAGACAACAGGATGTCATAAATCAGACCCTAGCCACTCTGAAGCAAGCCTAAAACCACTCTGTCACAGAACAGCTTTCAACATTAACACAAAAGGAACACACTGATCATAACAACTCAGGAAGGAGATTGTCAATTTTAGGGCAAGTAATCAAGATTAAATGGTCAAAGAGATGACCGCATGGCTATCACACGATAGTAACTACAGCCACAAGCTCGTCGTAAATTGACTTCCCCCAACTCATGACAAAGAACAGACTTTCGGAAATTCCTTACAGAACTCTTAATCTCTGGTCTTCATACATTCACAGAATGGCACGGAAACTGCAAGACTGCTTTCTTTTGGAGATGAATAATCAGACCAATAGTATTAATTGGTATTTTGCTTCTCCTTTGTATTTATTCCTGTGTATCATGACTTATTCATTTAAATTCTTCTTTTTTCAACTAAAACCTCAAAATTCACTGTGACAAATGAAAATTTACTTTTTAAATTATTACTGTTCTGGGACACCAACCACAAAACTCCATCTGCACACAAAGCAAAATCCAAACACAAATGGTATCTCAAAAAAAGTAAAAAAGTTACAGTGTGAGTGTAATTATGACCTTCGACTGCTATTACAGCAACCAAACACACATAGTACATGTGGTTTGAAAGCTCAAGTGTTTTCCTCACAGATGGGAAAAACTACAAAAAGAAGAAAAACTTCACGTCTATGACCTTGCCTTTGTTCAATAATGCACGGAAACACAACACCAGTACAACAGTAATCCGTTCACTGAGACCTCAAGGTCCTGCTCCTGTCTGAGAGGATTTGTAAGCTGGAGCCTCCACTCTGCTCAGAGAGTTGCTCAGGGAAACGATTAGAATTCCCAAAGAGAAAGAGAACCACGATGAACCCACTGCAGAGCAATGAGGATAATTAGAGACACATCTTAATAATAAAGCTGTAATAAAGAGACACAGCTTTAAAAATATTGACCACAATCTATCCAGGATAATTTCACTGTTTCACTGCTTGACGAATGGTTTAAAGCAGATGCCTTACAGATATTTAACAATAATTTCATAATTTTCTTACAGTAGGGTAGAATGTTGTATTCAGTGAAATTATAGTAGAGTAGAATATTGAATTGGCTGTCAAATCAATTCCTGATTACTGATTAGAATTACTGTCCAAAAATAACCATCACAAAAGATTAGAGTGTAAATTGTTACTAATTTGGTCACCATTCGGGTGATTAGTGTCTGGGAATTTGGCTCTTATTTATTTTAATTCAATTACTTTCTTCCCAGCCTCTGTAATACTGTTACAGAACACAACTGATTACACTGTGTTACATGGAAAAAATAATCTAATCTTAGTGATTGATTCTAGTCCGATCATAATCTGCAATCTAAATAATGTGTGCCAATATTGTTACAGAACAGAAATAATATAATCTTTCATAAACATTTATTGTGAACTCAGTGGTTGTTGTCAACCATACACACAGAGATATATCAACACGCAACAATGGTGACAATCATCAGAATTTTAGATAAAAATTTTAACCATTTCAAAAAAGAACTAAAAGTGACAACAACAACAGTAACAATTCTACAGCACAATGCTGCTACATCAGTTTCCTGCTCTAAGTGAAATACAGTACAGGAACAATTTACACTACTATATAAATCACTGTAAAAGTATAGCAACTAGTAGCCAGGAATTTAAATTGGTTGCTTTTCATGTTTTATTACTAAAGCAGACAAATGATTATCCAGACCATCCCTCATAAAAAGAAGTGCACCTAATTATACTGAATAGTATAGTTAAAAAAACTGTAAACTGTACATTCCGATAATATTTATGACGCTTATGTATTTAAAAAGAGTATAATTTCATGACTATGTTCATATGTTTCTTAACAGACTTATGTACATTTTTAAAAAGTGCACTTTATAATGTAAACTTAAAAGTATTACTTTCAAGCGCATTTTAAATCTTTGTGTTTTAATCAACTTTTTGCTATGCTTGAAAGTAGTACACTAATTTTAAATTGTTGTTTACCAACATACTAAAGCACATGTAAAGTAGTTAATAAATATTTAAAGTTAATATATTTTAAATGTACTAAATTTCATCATGTGTAATTACAAATATCTTTAAAATATATGACATACAAGTTTAAATCAAAATTACTATTTTAGTACATTTTAGTTACCATGAAATTACATATAAAGATGAACTTAAGTCCTACTAAAGTGGGTCAAAAAAGCACTCCAAAGTTAAGCTATAATTGCATTTAAACGACAATACATTTTTATTTAATTGCAATTAAAATGTAACTTTTTCACAAGGGTTTGTTTGACTTTCTGTCTGTGAGCATTTTGTGGACAGCTCAACTCTAGCCCAATTTAAATGAAGTTTAGCCGACAAAACAAACAAATAAAAGAAAATATGATCAACAGAGGACTGAGCTGTGAAATGTATGCTTGTCCGTGACTATGGTACATTAGTCAGAATTAAGCTCTTTCAAATACTCTGTGGGCAAGCTCAGCTGGGCCTGGTTCATGGTTGTCCATTAATGAGACAGCCTTCAAACAGAATTAATGCAGAATTCTCTGGCAATGGAAATGCATGGACTACTCAGATGATATTTATGTGGCATTCTTTATGCGCACTCCCTTTTAGACCAAACCAAATCGGAAGCCAAGGTGCTTGCACTCCATCTTAGTCAGGAATCTGGATTGGGGTATGGTTACATGCCCGTAGTACTAAATCAAATGGTGCAGTAATTCCAGAGAAGCATAATTTCTCTTAATTTAAGGTTGGAATAGTTCTACAAAAATGTGAAAACTGAGCACATTTCATATAATCAATTATAATAGACAAAAACTGGACCACAACTCTGCCCTATCACATCATATCCTCCTTTATAATGACTTACTTTGATATATGAAAAAAATTTCATATATCATATGCCTTTATATTGACTTGATATATATATATATATATTTTTTTTGTCCATATAATTAAAGCCAGTTGAACAATTTTCAAACAAGGTTTCAAATGACAACTATTATTTTAACTCTCAAATTATGACTTTAGACTTGACTAGAAATTCAAATCAAAGAATCATAAACAGCTCATTTGATTCAATTTGACATTCTGCCATTTCATTTTGTGATTAATCAGCAGTATGATCCCTGATGGATCTGTTACAAACAGCAATCTTAATTTCCATATGTCAGGTTTTAAGATACAACATGTTGTCGTTAAGAATCACCTGCTTTTGAACATTTAGCACTCAGTCTGTCTGACTCAACAGGATCCATGCGATAACATCTATTATCAGTGTTGCTGAGAAAGCAGCGACACTGCTCCGGGTTGGGCCTGCCCTTGTCTGTTCTGCTGCTCAGTTCATTAAAACCCTGACAACCTGGCAGTTCCCACTCTCCCATCAGGTATCAGCGAACCAAGCCAGGGCCATGCTGAGAACAACAAAACACAACACCAACGGGTGCCCGCTCATACACACACAACCGTACGAGGACAGCGCCCATGCCATCTGTTTGCAAAAGAATTAGAGCCGCCATAGTTCAAAACTACACTCAAGAGCTTTTAATACATATTCATGATGATTCTACGTGTCTGGCATAGATTGCGGTGGCAGAAAGGTGTGGAAATTCACAGGGACAAGTTATACGACATGCTGTTCAGTTTTACGACCATTAATAGATAAATAAACATACACTTACATGCACACATAACACTAAGGCTACATTCACATTAATCTGGATAAATTTGAACACGTGTCTTTTTCTCTGTGTTTTGGCATTTGGTCCACACTGAGACTGTGTTTTTGCGCAATGAAAACTGATTTTTGAAGTAGATGCATTTGAAAACACATTTTTTGCGTTGTAGTGTGGACTGGGAAGACTGAGTTATTAGAAAATGATGATGCAAGTTTAGTCGTGATGAATATTGCACCCACATATATCTGGTTGTTCCACCATTGTTGCACCTGCTACTCACTTTAATAATGTTGCTAAAGATAAATGTCATTTTGTACAATCTTCGTGTTACATTCCTACAAAAATGGCAACTTGTGCACTCACAACTGCTGTCCTATACAGATTATCTGTAGAATCTGTATAAAATATACAGATTCATGTGGATGTAACCTATCAAAAAGTACAGAAAAGGTACATGAACATAGTCATCATTCATTAAAGTATCTGATACCACTTTAGTACCAATATAGTACTTTTGTAATAGAAAACATAAAATCAAAGTGCAAATACAAACTAAACGGTAACTATCTCTGAAATAAATCACAGTGGTTTCCTTGCTTGGACACCAGAAGTCAATGTCTAGAAGCTCTCTATAGATCCGAGCAGACATTGCTCCAGTCAGCCTAAAGTGGATTGTGTAAACACACAGAAGACAGTAGAAGCTATTCCTGTCTTATTGTCAACAATATAAAGAGACTTCAGGCATGGTACTCAACTTTTTATTGCCAAGTGCACATGGGAGCCTGAATTCCCACTGTTGCACAATTCATCTAACAGCTTGCTTGCTGTGTGGTGCCCACAGGTTTGATATTAATGTTTAATTTGTAAACAGAGACCAAAAACCCCCATGTAACATTTTAAGAGGGTTATGTAAGGTACTGTTGTAAGGTACTAAGGTAATTAATCAGAGGTTAATATTATACCAACATTGCATGGCGATCATACAAGTGAATCAAAGTTGATGTTAATTAATTCTGTACTAATTTATCACACATTACTCAATGCTGTCTCAACATATATCAATTATCCATTGTTGGTGTGTAAGCATGGAGGCATATATTGGATATACTCATCAACTCATGTTAATTCATCGGACCCATTCCAGTCGTCAACAATCATCTTCTGTCCTCATCTCAGCACACCAGATCAGACACAACCTGCAAAGGAAAGCCACAGTGACTGAAAGCCAAGTCTCTGCTCAAGATTATCAGCTCATTATCTCACCTGTGTGATCATCGCTTGCTCCTCTCCTGAAACCTTTAATAAAGTCATTTACCTGTGGTGTCTCTTTCTATTTGCTGACAACTACAGGACTTTTACAATCTTTTAAGATTTTTCAAACCAGATTTGAAAATATTAGCCATCGTACATTTGCAGAATTTTTTTTCAATTGATTTGTTATGTATATATTGTATTTATATTGTTACAGAGCAAACCTTGCCATCGAACACTAAATGACCAAGGATCACACACTACCAGACTTTCAGGTTAACTAATGCAAAAATGTGTCTCGTTGCTAGGAAACACATGACAAATGAAAACATATGTTCTAAAATCGGCTCAAAATATTGAACATGTTTGATATCCTGTACCTGGACAAAATAGTCTGAAGCTAATTTATGCTACTTGATTTTCAAATCAGACTGTTTAAAACTGCAGACTGGCTCTGACTTTTGGCAACTAGTGTGAAAAAAACTGTATATATATATATATATATATATATATATATATATATATATATATATATATATATATAATATTATATATATATATATATATATATATGTTATGGATAGATAGATAGATAGATAGATAGATAGATAGATAGATAGATAGATAGATAGATAGATAGATAGATAGATAGATTTTTTTGCTTTGGTTTTGATACCACGGCTCAAATGCATGATCACTAGACTCTGGTTCCAAATGACATTATCAGCACAAGATGATAGCAGCTATTTCTGGGACATTTTGGCTTCATTTTTTCTACAGTGCTAGGAAATATAGATGTGTTGTCCATCTTTTTTT